TCAAATTTGGTTCCATGTACTGCGAGCAGACTGTTTTTCAGGGAAACCCTTTGGCCAGGGTCCAGATCAGGTGCCATAAGCAGAGGGATTGCAGCCCTCACTACAAGAGAGTAGTAGGCCAAGTCTAGGCTGGGTCAGGCTGAGTGCAGCCCAGCTAAGGGGACGGGGATGTTTGTGGATATAGATACCACCTGTGAGGCATGGGACACATTATAAGGGGAGGTTCAGAGCCATGTATTTGCCTTTGGCATCAAGGCAATTAAATGGGCAGCCTCCCTCCTGGGAACAACTTAAATTACTTCAAAGGTGTGGCAGGAAAGGCAGGTGGGTGGACTGCCCTAGACAAATAGGTGGGCCAACTCTGGACTGGTCCCAGCACAGCCCACTTGTTACACTGGGATACTTTCATAGGTTCAATACCACTTCAGGGTAAAGCTCTGCCTCTGGATTCCCTAAAAAGCAGCCTTATTTGGTCTCCTCCCTTGAGAAGACCCTTTGAAATCAGCCCTGGCATGGCTCCACAAGGGACAAGTCTCTGGCTCTGAGACCCTGGCTCTTCTCAGTTCCTGGCTTTCTCAATGATCCATATCACCTCCACTTCCAAGCATTCCTTCTTTTTGGTCAGCTCCTGCAGAGTAGGGATGTTTTCTTCTTTAAAGAGGTGGGGTCAGAGTGCTGAAATCTTGAACAGCCCAACAGACTCTGACACTGATGTGACTGGTGTGTCAATCTCTAATACGGCATAAAGGGCAAATGGCTACAGCCAGCCCAGGATTGGTACTCCAGACACTCCAGTAAGGCTAGCCATGGAACAACCCACCCAACAGGATTTTGCTCTTAGTGTTTGTACAAAACCTTGAGTCCAAAGTCTGCTGCACTTGAGAGATGTCTGAATCCAGAGTAAAGGTGTGCAGTTCAGCCCCTGCCTAATTTTGGGTGAAAATGTAGCTGAGTGGTAAGGGTGGCTGAAAACTGAGTGTTCTCCACTGTCTTCCCAATCCTGCCTTTTTGGGCCTTTGGTAGAGTGTGGAACTGTGCCTCAGTTCCTCCTCTACAATTTCCCTCACAGAATATTGTGAGGAAGCATAGCAAGCTCTTTGGTTGATACATGCCAGCATCATGGCAGTTTTGCACTTTTAGACAGCTCTGGGTAGAGGTGGTGAGAAGAGAATTGGCAGATTGTGACAGAATGAAGTCAACATGCTTTTTTCCCTGAATCCAGAACCTGAAAGGACTCTCCTGGTAGGAGTATTTGTGTGTGTGTTTCAGAGAGACCTGAGGCATCTGGAGCTCTAAGCAGTACTCCAGAGAGGAAATGCATAACGAGGATGCTAATAAAGCTTGAGCCAGGCAGCCTTATGTGTTTACAGCAGGGGTTTCCAACCTTTTTATGCTGCAGACCAGCAAGCCACGGACCAGAAGTGACTGTGGACTGGCAAACCGCAGACCAGCAGTGACCAGCATACTGTTGGCAGGCAGCCAACCCTTTGTGGCCCAGTACTGGGCCATGGCCCAGGGGTTGGGAACCCCCGGCTTACAGCACTTCAATTGCCAAAATGTAACCAATAAAAGGAAAAGGATCAGATACACCTTCAGCATTTCATATATCCAACATCCTTCATCTGAAGCAGAGAGCTGGAAAAAATGTCAGGGTTTCGTATGTGTGCTATTTGAGTACAAACTGATGCTAAAGTTGGATGAGAAGGACAGAAGTTGAGAGACTCTGTCTGGGTAGGGGGCAAATATTACAAATGCTGGAATATATAGAAAAATGTTGAGCTCCTAGGGAAAAAAACTAAATATATTGTCCTACTCATTTTTTTTGTGCTCCTCATGAGGCTTCCTCCCATATCTCACTAATCATCTGCCAACTGAGTGGGAATCAATATTCTAGTTACAGTATGGGGTTTGTTCTCTCCATTTCCAAATGCAATTTTAATCCCATAAGGAATGTTTCTGGTTCTGGGGTTTTTTCTTTGGGCATAGGAATCCTGAGGTCAGTTACATATCCATGTCTCCAGCACAGTATTATGGCATACTGGCTCCTTGCTATCGGTCCAACTCAAGCAGGCACCGCTTAACAGAGAACACATTCTATCCTTTTGGGAGGACTGCACCTGGATCCAGTTTTCAGTATCAGGGCTTCCTCCACAATGGAAGCTTGTACTTTTTGGATGGTGAGAAGAAGATGAAACAGAATATTCTATATTTGTTGGTGATCCAGCATGCTTTTTATTTAGAGGTCTTAGCTGAAGGCAAATAATTCACATCTGAAGTTTTGAGAGAATCTCCAAGCCACTGAACTGCTCTGCTTTGCATTAGGCAGGCTGGTTGTCTCCTTCTTGGAATGGCATTCTTATTTCCTGAATTCACTTAGTTTTTGTCATGGTCTTCAAGGCTCCATTTTTCAGTGTGACAGACTGCTTCAATTAGCCTGATAGAATACATGTGACATCAATCATGGCTGGCATCTCCCATCACACCAGCTGATTGGCTCACCAGTATAATTAAAAAATGCAGGAGGAAAGATTACAGTCTCCCTGATTGCCTTTATCTTTTTGCCTACCATGCTTTTACTACTTGTACAGAAGTGCTTATTGCATTTGGCGGCCTGTAGCTCCTGAAGCTAGCTGTTGGGAGGAGAGCCTTTCTGCTCCCTTGTTGCTAGGTTGGGATGTCTGATTGCTTTAGAAATGTTGATATACATGCGAGTGTTTCACTGAATCCATTTCTTATAGAAATGCCATTTTAATGGTGTTGGGTGCTATCCTTTTTTTTTTGTACAGCAAGGATGCAAATGGATTCCCCCTTCTTATAAAATATTACTATGGTTGTCATTTTTGTAAGATGTGCTACACTCTAACAAGCAATTAGTCAGACATATACATGACAAAAAATTCAGGCTTTCCTTGGTGTGTGTCCTTCAAGCATTGTTCTTCATCATATTACATGTTGGTCTTTGCATTCATTAGAGCTATGAGGTAAAGATATCCAAACTTAGGTCTTGGTCAAAAATCAGTATCTGTTCACCAAACTAAGCAACCTGCTTTTCATTTCTGCTGTCAGAACACTCAATGGCTCCTATTAATGATACCCACCCAAGCTTGATAACCCCCTGGATGTGAGAGGATTCTGTGGTGAGCAAACTGGTGCTTTGGCTTTCAGCTTAAGTGAGTTCCAAGCTCTCTAATTTGCAGATTTTGCTTCTTTCCCAAGTATGTGGGAGCAATTGGAAACATAATGAGTGGTGGGTGACTGGTGCCCCCTTTGAGGGCAAGAATAGCAACTGCTGCCACTGCCCAGGACACAAACCCTGGTTGTTTCCTGCTCTGAGGGGAACTTGATTTGAAGCCACAGTCCGAAACAGAAGAGGCGTGGAATACAATATTGTACTAGTGGAAGGATAAGCAAAGGAGAAAGCAGAGTTGGAAAAACAGGGGGAGATGATGTTAGGAGCATAGAAGGATGCACCAGTGAGAGCAACTGTGGAAGTGACTGATGACAGAAGGATCCTTGGGGAGCTAGGAGAAGCCCAGGGAATTATCTGGAAGTGAATGAGATTGGCACCAGCTGGAAAAGTTGCTTCTCTTGATGTGTCCTAGTTCAGTAGGATTCATCTCCCTAAGTTTCAACGGCACAGTTCTCATGAAGGGGCAAGTAAGTGTCCTCATTCAAAGGTTGTCACTCATGGAACCCATCTCTCCAATGAGTTGTGTAGATCTCAAGGCAGCCATTCCTAAATGATTTTCTAGCTAGAGATACTGCAAACATAAATTATATTTCATATAAAAAAACTCAATACATATAGCAGTTGGAGAACATTAATCCTGTGATATGTTGGGTTTTTCTGAGCAATGGAGCATTATGAAGATGCTGCTGTTGTTCAAAGGAAAGAATGCAGTTATAAACCTTGGAAATTCAGAGATAAGTAAAAACATTTAGACATGGTAAAGGATGGGAGTGTATAGTTTGTGTACCAAAACAACTTTAATTCTGTCCTTCAGTGACTTAAAGCAGTAACTATACCATGACCAATATCAAATAGCATTTGTAGGATCAGATTTAATTGATTTTTAAGGATACTGTAGAGCCTTCCTTCCATCCTCCCCCACTCCCTCTCATGATGTCACTACAGGACAGAGTTCAACAACCAGGAAAGACAACCAGCCACTGCTTCCAAAACTCAAACATCAAGAAATATATTCAGCAGAGTGAAGTGCAACTCTTTCTCCTGAATGAGAGTGCTGGTGGTAATGTTTCTGACTACCATGGAAAGACTTATAGCTATTCAAGTAAAAATCAGTCTAATCATAGAGATTCAGGCAGTGAAAAAAGTTACTACGTATGTACCAGTGTCCAAAAGGAACTGCATCCTGTGTACCAACTCATAGATCTAACTGCAAAAATATACTGAGCATGTCTACACATGCTATTAAGATGATTGAATAAACTACAGCACAATTTGCACTGTAATTTATTGCTCCCAAGTGTGTCGTTTGCACATGTATCTGGGACCACAGCATGTTGAGCCAGGGCAGAGCAGCACTGGCTGGCAAGGGGCTCCAGGGGTCAGCCTGCCAGCCCAGGGCTGCTCCAACCTTGATCAGCATGTTGTGGAGGAGCTGGCAGGGGCACGAGGGTGCTTTAGTGTAGGGCTAGCTGGCAGGCAGCCTCTGCACTGAAGCACCCTTGTGCCCCAGCCATCCCCATCAGTGTCTACAGTGCATTGCAGCAGAGTAAATAACTGCTGTAGGATAGTACTCATGTTTGACAGTACTATTCTACAGCAAAGTTACTTAGTTTACTCTATCCTAATAGAACCACATGTGCAGAGGGTAACATTTTACTGCAGAGCTAATTAGTAGATCTGTGCGAAGCTTCAGGTGGTGATTCAATTTGGAGGAGATTTGGCCAGTTTCAGTGGCCAAATCTCTGAATCCAAGTCGAATCAGGGGACCAGTTAAAAGGTCCGAATTGATTCAAAGATCTCAGAATCTTCGGAAAAGGTTCGGAGAACTTCGATGATTTGGGCAGTCCCTGGTGGCGGCAGCATGGAGCTGCAGCTGGACTAGGAGCTGGTAAGTAGGGGCGAGGGAGGCAGGACTGGAAGGGGACCGTGGGGGGACCCCTGCCAGGCCCCATCCCTTGCCCGCTCCCCCAGGCCCTCCCATGCCTGCCCCGCCCAGCTGCAGCTCCCATTGCTTTAAAAAAAAGCCCCACTCACGGTTGCTGCCAGGCGGGGGGCAATCTCTGCTGCCCTCCACTGCCTCCCCCCACTGCCCCACGCTGCATGGGGGGCTCTGCATGAGCCCCACGACCCCCTCCCTCGCTCCCCCAGCCTCCCCCCATGGCTGCTCTGCCCACCCCAGCTCTGTGCTCTACCGCCCCCAGCTCGGGCCTTTTAAGAAAAAAAAAAGAAAACCCCTGGGACTCACCACTCCTACAGCAGCCTCGGGGTTTCGGGGGGCTCGTGGAAGAGCCCCCCACACAGCATGGGGCAGTGGGGGGCAGCGGGGATTGCCCCCCACCTGGCATGAATGGTGAATGCAGGGGGTTTTCCTCATTTTATTTTTCTTAAAGGGCCGGAGGGGCGGCGGGTGAGGCAGCCATGGGGAGCCTGGGGGAGCAGGTGGGGGTCGGGTTGCTGGGGGAGCAGGCCCAGGATAGGGCACGCTCCCCTTGGGGGGGCTTGAAGAGATCACCCACCCCTCCACCCAGTGGCACCCGGTGATCCAGGGCTTTTTTTTTCCAAGTGCCAGGACCCGGGGAGGGCAGGGCAGCCATTGCTGGGGCTGGAAGAGCAGGTGGGTGGTGGGCTTGGGTGATTTGGAGATTCGGCAGCAGTCAGATCTCTGAATCAGATTTGGCCAAATTAATTCGGGACAGTGATTCGAATCACTGAATCGAGTCACTGTCCCCCAGATTGGCTGAATCTGAATCCAAAGCAAATACTAGCCGCTTCGCACAGGCCTACTAATTAGGCAAGTTGCAGTAAATGACTCATGTAGGCACACCCAGTGTTAAATAAAACAAGCACCAGTTATTTGTAGTGCAGAACTCTAGAACTCTTGTTTCAGAGATGATACCTTTTATTAGACCAATTAAAAAATTGCAAAAAAAAAAAAATCATTCTCTGCAAGCTTTTGGGTACACACACCCTTTCTCAGGCTCAGGGAAAATTAAAGATGGTAAAAAATTCCTATAGGTAGAAAATAACCTTCATTTTTGCACAGAGGAAGCTGAAAGTGGAAGTCTATTTCTCTGGGTTCACGAGAGTGTCTTTGTGAGTTGCTCTTTGTGCAGATAAGGCAGGATTCCTTCCCTGATGGTGTCAGATGGCAGAAAGGCAGGGAGGTATAGAAATCTTTCTTGTTGTTCAGCTCTCTCATGGACCCAGAGAAAGAGACTTCCACCTTCAGCTTCCTCTGTGCAGAAATGAAGTTTATTTTCTACCTGTAGGGACTTTTTACCATCTTTAATTTTCCCTGAGCCTGAAGAAGGGTGTGTGCACCCAAAAGCTTGCAGAGAAGGATTTTTTTTTTGCGATTTTTTTTTTTTTGGTCTAATAAACAGTATAATCTCTGAACCAAGAGTTCTAGAGTTTTGCAGTTTCTTTTTGTCTCAGACCAACACAGCTACTAACTACATCCCTGAAGTTATTTGTAGTAGCACCATCTAGTGACTACTATTAATATTACATGACCCAAATAATGCTATCACCACCTTAGCCACAGGACCAACATAGGTGTCCTTGGGTTTTTTGTAAACCTGGGTTGTGCTGCTATGTGAGTCATGTAAAGATGCGTCCTGTAATAATGTAGACAGGACTATTAGCTAAATACCAGCTGGATTTTTTTTTTAAGTCTGTACATTGCTATTACTTTAATAGCAGAGAGAATCCACACACAGTTTCATGTGGGTAGAGAAACACAGGAGTGAGCATCTGTCATTCACTTTCAAAGTATTTAACGCATCAGCAGATGTGCGTTATGGAGAGTTCTGAAATGGGAATGAAAAGAAAAATGATGAAATGCAACTTGGTAAAACATCCAAGGATGTTACAGCCCTTCTGTATAGCTTTCTGTGACAAGGAAATGAGACGAGAAAAGAGATTAGGGCTTGAAGGCTGTATCAATCATGGCTCTAACTAGAGCACTGTAAAAATCACCCTTCCCTTCACAGAGATAGGAAATCCTTTGATACCTCTGTCCCTGCGGTGTCTGATATGGAAGGAATTCCACCAGTCTATACTGACCTGCGTCAGTTTAAAGGAAGCTCTAATGCTTTATTTTATCTTATTGAACTTAAATATAAAGAGAAATTACCTGTAGACATTCAGTACAAAAGGCAATATTGAAAACGGATTAATAGCACTTTTTCTGGTGAAGACTGGGAGGGGCTGGAAGGTGCACCACAACAAGACAGAGAACCCCGTGGACCACTTCACATATCCACCCATGTCTGAAACACACACAGAGGGTTGTTAAGCGTCTATACCCGACCAACCACCCTATTAGATTCGATTGGGAAATTGACCTACTGCCCAGCCCCAACCAGAGATGCAAACACCACCAATGAAAATTCCACACGAACATAAAGTTAACAAAATGTATTATGACAAGAAACAACTACAACAAAGTACTGTAGCAATAGATACAACAACTTACAGTACTATAAACACTATACAGACAATATACAGTTAAAGAGCCCGATACCCATCTGTCACCCTGGGAGGCAGACTATATCACCAGAGAGAGCTGACAGGCAGGGAAGGCCTGCTGTGCAGTCTCACACCCCTGAGGATTTCTGTGCTGTTCCTTCACATGCAGGTGGGTACTGAGCACCTCAGAAAAGGAGGGGTGATACTTTACCCGACCGATGCAACAGGAAGAAGCAGGTGAGTGTCCAGCAAGTGCCTAGGTGATATGAACCCTCCGTTGTTGCTTCCCAAGCACTGTCGCAACACACCCTGTGCTCACTTGCTCAACAGATCACCACTAAAATCTGGGTTCCAGATTATCAAACACAACTCAGACCCTAGATCAATTGTACACTAGTTAGCCTTGCACACTCAGTCAGATACACACCAGGCAAAAGAGAATGAGACAAAGCAAGTCTCAGCAAGCCCTTCAACTCAACGAGCTCCAGCTCCAATGATGACGACTACGAAAAGCCCCCCGACCTCTACACTGGACAGGCTTTATAGGGCCTAAAACACACCACCTGTCCATCATGTGGAGATCCAATCATTACTCTTACATTTCCATCAATCAAAGTCGATCACAATAAGGACCATAAAATCAAGCTATCACAATAACCCATAATAACTCATTAGCATAACGGTCCTAACTGTCATGTTCCCCTGGTTACCAAACAAACAACTTGGCCTCAAACAAATAACTCACTGTGCATGCTCAGCTTTTAAAAGTAGGTCATGACATCACTGAGGTTAGAAGGTGAGATGTACCAGAAAGTTCCAACCTCCAGGCATCCCATGTGTGAGTGTTCACACCAGGACTCCACTGTCTGCACTGGCACTTTCCATCTTGGCCTGATTTCCAGACACAAATTAATGAAACCTCCCAACTTCTCCCAATGAGAAAAGTTTCATTTTCATTCCCATTTTATAACTCAGGAAACTGAGGCAAAAATATGCTGAGTTCTATTGTTTTATACTTTTTATACTGTACTCAGCACTATCCTGTTCGTGCATCTTCCCAGACATGAGTTAAGTAACATACCTGTCAACTGGCTGAAAGAATGAATATGGTATTCGCTTCTTTTATTAATCGGGGGGAGGGGTGTTTAAAGTCTTCATTACATCTGTCACTGTTTATGGTAGATGGAACAATGGCAAAGCAATGCTGGAGCATGTTTGGAGTGGAAGGAGGGGAGGTTTGAGATGGACCTTGCATAGTCTCAAGTTTTGGGCAGATGCCATTTTCAACTGCTTAATAGGAGATGGGGAGCTGCCACTTAGGAAAGGATGTCAGCTGTTATGATGGAAGTGTTTGCTCCTTTCCCTATATAAATGTACTAAATGGCTGTAACTTTAACCCTGAATGAAATAGTGTTAAAGTTGCAATGGTTTTGGTACAATAGTTTTATTGTATGGTAGGTGCCTTGCAGTACTCTGCTTTCAGGGCTTTTGTTGGTCATCTGTAGGGGCCAATAAGAACATTTTTCTCTTTATGATTGCTACTGGATTTCAGGAGTGTTTCTACATGTGCCTCTTTTAGCAGGCTTTACCTAAAATTGCCCTTTTTAAGATGCATTAAGGGTGTGTATCTACATGTGCACACCCTTAACGTGCCTTAAAGATAGCAATTTAAGGCTATGTGAGCCTAAATTTGATACCTGCATAAAGCTGGTATCAAATTTAAGCACGAATAGCCAGTTTGCAGTAGCACACATGTAGATGTGCTAATGCACATTAACGCAGTGTGCGTCAATGGACACACACCACGTTAATGCACATTAATGCGTCTGCATGTGTGCTAAGTGATTTAGCTATTTGCACCTAAATTTAATGCATCTTAATGCTCATTAGCATAACCACATGTAGACACATGCCGAAATCACTTTAATGTGCCTTAAGCAAAGACACATGAAGTTTAAGTGCATATAAATACACATGTAGACATGCCCCATGGGAGATCAGACAAGAAGCTCCCCTTCTGAGGCATTAAGATAGTCACCACAGATAAAACTGGGGAGCTTTACCCAGGTACATTGGTACTCCTGTCTGTTCTTTTGAAAAATTCAGAGGCTCCTTGTTAGAGAATATTTCTCGTCCGTCATCATTCTCAGGATCCTATCAATCACCAAATTTGAGGTCAGAAAGAAATGTTTTCTCATTCTCAGACTGGCAACTAAGGGAGTTGTTGCCTTGCTCTGTACCACCGCCTTCTTTTTTGAGTCCTCTAAGCAACTATAAGCCAATACTTCTTTGTCATTACAGAGGCAGGACTGTGCCAGGGCTATAGCTTCCTCTGCTTTTACTTTGGTTTGGAGTCTTCCTGGGGTCTCTGGGCTCCTCAGTCACAGCCTTGAAGCTTTCCTTGGCCCCTCAGTGGTCCTCTGCCTTCGAATGTCACCCAACTATCACTGAGCCTACCCCCCTGCATACCTAATGGAGGTAGGTAAAATATAGAATATCTTAGTGAGTCATATGATCAATTAGGCCTGCTAAGCAGGGTTACACCATAAACCCTACATGCACAGCATATGCTTCACTGCTAGTGGGCCAACAAACAGGACTCCCATATTTACAACAGTGGCTGAAAACAGCCAAGTGCAGACAAAAGCACTGACTTGCCGGTGCAAGCTGAGGATATGAATTCCAATACCTCCTTTACTGACTGTTTCAACTGGCATCAAGCCTCCAGGAGTTTCTTGGACATGACAAGTGGTAGAACCAAGCACATCCTTGCTCTGGTCACTCCAATCCACAGACACTCCATGCTTCTGTAGTGTAAGCTCCTGGCCCTGCTGAGACACTATTTTGAGGATAATGATGCTGCCACGGGTGTCTTGCTGGTCCATGCAGGAGGCATGACATGACATCATGCAAGCCAGGGTGCTTCAGTCCCAGTATCAGATGCCACCTCATTACTAGGTACTAGTGCTGAGCTCATACTGGTGGAAGCAGCTTGTACTCAGAACCTGCAACAATCAGCAGTGTTGGCAGAACATTTAGATATCCTGTGGCATATTCATGGACCTTTGTACCAAGCTGGTCCATCTGTTTCAGTGCCAGGATATTGGGCTTTAGCACCCTATGTCCATCAGGAGATGCATGACTTGGAAGCTGTTAAACACCAACAGTCTCCATTCCATTGCCAACCACTTCAATCCTTTCCATCCCACCGCCAACACACCACAGTAAACCCTCCTCAGCTACCTGTTCTCCCTAGATACAGTCTCCCCACTCCAGCCCTTCCCTCCCCAAAGGTTTCCATTAGACAGGCACCCCTGACCCCATGATAAATTGTCTGTCTGCCCATGTCTCAGAACACCTTTACTCTGATCATTCTCTCTGGCCAGAGTGTCCTGGCAGTACAGAGAGGAGCTCTTTAAGATTGTAGGTAGTGACCCCATAAGATATGTCATGCTGCTTCTGTGAGCTCTCATGCCAGCACTGGCCCTAGAGTCATGGAAGGGTATAGCCAATTATGAGTGCACCCTGGGAAAGGTGGTAAGTCCATGAAACATATGTGATGCGTTGGAAACCTTCTTATACCTGTGTTACAGCTTCTTACCTCTGGCAGACTTCCTAGCAGTGAAAACAATGATTTGTCATGTCTTGAATTAGCATTGCCTTGACCTTCTCACAAGCTCCTCCTCCCCTTGAAGAATGATGCCCCATCCCATGCCCTGCCTGAATGCTCTGAGTCTGACATTGCTGTGACCCTGAGCTCCGAGGAGGACCTGGAATCCTGAAGGCTGGGAGCTATCACTGCCACCCAAAGCAGCTGAACCCAGTATCCTTGTGTTGGTGGAGGTGGCATGGACCTGAAAAATGACAGTGATCCCTGATGCTGGACACCTCCATGTCTGGACCCTACAGAGGAGCATATGGGACTTTCACTGGCCAGACCAACAGTGCCCTTGCGGGGCAGGGATGGAGGGTGGCATTGGGCTACAGTCTATTCTACCACTCCCCCTTCTCTTGGGGCTTTACCCCCTCTTTCACCTCTTTGCTTGTGCCCAAATATGCCTAATTAAAAGTCTTTCATTGTGTGTTTCTGTTGGTTGGTGCACTAAAAAGCTATCCTGGGTGGTAGGACCCCAGTTGTGCAGGCAGAAGCTCTGCTGAGCCTACTAATGCATGGAATTCAAACAGTAGTGACCATATTCATGAACCAGGTTGGAGGTGTCCCCTGCAAACTCACCAAAGCACTCCAGTTCATGTGAGGTAACCA